CAGGGACAGAATTGTTACTGAGGGACACAGAATTGTTACTGAGGGACACAGAATTGTTACTGAGGGACACAGAATTGTTACTGAGGGCCACAGAACTGTTACTTAGGGCCACAGAACTGTTACTTAGGGCCACAGAAAACGTTACTCAGGGACACAGAATTGTTACTCAGGGACACAGAATCGTTAATTAAAGAGTATGTCAGACAACATGCAGAGGAGTGGCAGAGGAGGCAATGTTTTAGGAGCGAGCAGACGTGGCAGCAGAGGAAGGGGTCGAGGGCAGCACTATTCGCAGCCAGAGGCTAGTGCTCCCGGTGTCATCCAGTACAGTGAGGAAGAGCTAACAGAGGGCGGTCAGGAACGGGGGGAGACATCCGCCTCTTCAGCAGCCAGGCGAAGAAGTAGTGGCGAGGAGAGTGGCTCGGTAGCCGGTCTAGAGACAGGTCTGTCTCCTGACCCACACGCAGCCGAGGGGGCTAGTAGTGAGGCGGAGACCCTAATTGATGATGATGAGGAGGCTGATCGCACTTGGCAGCCTCGTCGTCATCAGGCTATTGCTTCCGCATCATCAGGAGAAGAGGGTGGCAGCTTGGCAGCGAGCAAAACAGTCGGTGGGTTGTCTCCATCGCCACACTCTGCCATGTGCCACTTTCAGGTCTCCTCACACACTGCTGGTGTGTTGAATTTTTTGACATAGGGTGCTGGCAGATTACGGGCCTCCCATAGCTGCTGCCAGGCCCTAATCTGCCATGGGCCCCTGTACCGCCTCCTCATGCTGCTGCTGGCTGCCAGGTCCACAGTCTCTCATGCCATGTGCCACTTTCAGGTCTCCTCACACTGCTGGTGTGTTGAATTTTTTGACATAGGGTGCTGGCAGATTACGGGCCTCCCATAGCTGCTGCCAGGCCCCTAATCTGCCATGGGCCCCTATATACCGCCTCCTCATGCTGCTGCCAGGTCCAGAGTCTGTCATGGGTCCCTGTACGGCCTCCCATTGCTGCTGTCTCCATCGCCACACTCTGCCATGTGCCACTTTCAGGTCTCCTCACACACTGCTGGTGTGTTCAATTTTTTGACATAGGGTGCTGGCAGATTACGGGCCTCCCATAGCTGCTGCCAGGCCCCTAATCTGCCATGGGCCCCTGTACCGCCTCCTCATCATGCTGCCAGCCAGGGTCCACAGTGCTGCTCTCATGCCATGTGCCACTTTCAGGTCTCCTCACACACTGCTGGTGTGTTGAATTTTTTGACATAGGGTGCTGGCAGATTACGGGCCTCCCATAGCTGCTGCCAGGCCCCTAATCTGCCATGGGCCCCTATACCGCCTCCTCATGCTGCTGCTGCCAAGTCCAGAGTCTGTCATGGGTCCCTGTACGGCCTCCCATTGCTGCTGTCTCCATCGCCACACTCTGCCATGTGCCACTTTCAGGTCTCCTCACACACTGCTGGTGTGTTCAATTTTTTGACATAGGGTGCTGGCAGATTACGGGCCTCCCATAGCTGCTGCCAGGCCCCTAATCTGCCATGGGCCCCTATATACCCCTCCTCATGCTGCTGCCAAGTCCAGAGTCTGTCATGGGTCCCTGTACGGCCTCCCATTGCTGCTGTCTCCATCGCCACACTCTGCCATGTGCCACTTTCAGGTCTCCTCACACACTGCTGGTGTGTTTCCAATTTTTTGACATATAGGGTGCTGGCAGATTACGGGCCTCCCATAGCTGCTGCCAGGCCCCTAATCTGCCATGGGCCCCTATATACCGCCTCCTCATGCTGCTGCCAAGTCCAGAGTCTGTCATGGGTCCCTGTACGGCCTCCCATTGCTGCTGTCTCCATCGCCACACTCTGCCATGTGCCACTTTCAGGTCTCCTCACACTGCTGGTGTGTTCCATTTTTTTGACATAGGGTGCTGGCAGATTACGGGCCTCCCATAGCTGCTGCCAGGCCCCTAATCTGCCATGGGCCCCTATACCGCCTCCTCATGCTGCTGCCAGGTCCAGAGTGTCTCATGGGTCCCTGTACGGCCTCCCATTGCTGCTGCCAGGAGGCAGCAGGGTCGCAGCAGTGTCAGTGGAGGCAAACGGCCACGGAGTGCCAGGCCCACTCCACTGCAGGTCTCCTCCACGGCCAGTGTGGTGCCGGTGTGCACGGAGGAAGTAGCAGTCAGCCAGTGAGGAGTAGCTGGGGAAAGGGGCCTCCTACTCTGGCGGTGTGGCAATTTTTTCGTCAAGCCCCCCCCAGGAAGTAAACGCCAGGCCGCATGCGATGTGGCCAGAAAGTCAAGCGTGGCCAGGGGGCCCCTGTACGGGACTCCATTGCTGCTGTCTCCATCGCCATTCTCTGCCATGTGCCACTTTCAGGTCTCCTTCACACTGCTGGTGTGTGTTCCATTTTTTGACATAGGGTGCTGGCAGATTACGGGCCTCCCATTGCTGCTGCCAGGCCCCTAATCTGCCATGGGCCCCTATACCGCCTCCTCATGCTGCTGCCAGGTCCAGAGTCTGTGTCATGGGTCCCTGTACGGCCTCCCATTGCTGCTGTCTCCATCGCCACACTCTGCCATGTGCCACTTTCAGGTCTCCTCACACACTGCTGGTGTGTTTGAATTTTTTGACATAGGGTGCTGGCAGATTACGGGCCTCCCATAGCTGCTGCCAGGCCCCTAATCTGCCATGGGCCCCTATACCGCCTCCTCATGCTGCTGCCAGGTCCACAGTGTGCTGTCTCCATGCCATGCCATGTGCCACTTTCAGGTCTCCTCACACTGCTGGTGTGTTAAATTTTTTGACATAGGGTGCTGGCAGATTACGGGCCTCCCATAGCTGCTGCCAGGCCCCTAATCTGCCATGGGCCCCTATATACCGCCTCCTCATGCTGCTGCCAAGTCCAGAGTCTGTCATGGGTCCCTGTACGGCCTCCCATTGCTGCTGTCTCCATCGCCACACTCTGCCATGTGCCACTTTCAGGTCTCCTCACACACTGCTGGTGTGTTGAATTTTTTGACATAGGGTGCTGGCAGATTACGGGCCTCCCATAGCTGCTGCCAGGCCCCTAATCTGCCATGGGCCCCTATACCGCCTCCTCATGCTGCTGCCAGGTCCAGAGTCTCTCATGGGTCCCTGTACGGCCTCCCATTGCTGCTGCCCATGTGCCACTTTCAGGTCTCCTCACACTGCTGGTGTGTTGAATTTTTTGACATAGGGTGCTGGCAGATTACGGGCCTCCCACTGCTGCCAGGCCCCTAATCTGCCATGGGCCCCTATATACCGCCTCCTCATGCTGCTGCCAAGTCCAGAGTCTCTCATGGGTCCCTGTACGGCCTCCCATTGCTGCTGTCTCCATCGCCACACTCTGCCATGTGCCACTTTCAGGTCTCCTCACACACTGCTGGTGTGTTTGAATTTTTTGACATAGGGTGCTGGCAGATTACGGGCCTCCCATAGCTGCTGCCAGGCCCCTAATCTGCCATGGGCCCCTATACCGCCTCCTCATGCTGCCAGGTCCAGAGTCTCATGGGTCCATGTACGGCCTCCCATTGCTGCTGTCTCCATCCATCACACTCTGCCATGTGCCACTTTCAGGTCTCCTCACACACTGCTGGTGTGTTGAATTTTTTGACATAGGGTGCTGGCAGATTACGGGCCTCCCATTGCTGCTGCCAGGCCCGTAATCTGCCATGGGCCCCCGTACCGACTCCTCATGCTGTGACGTTGCAACAAGGTGGAATTCAACCCTACATATGTTAGACCGCGCCTTTACGAACAGCAAAAGGCCATCACAGATTTCCTGATGTTAAAAGCGGATAAAGGTACTCCCTGTGTAACTTAGATGTCAGCCATTGGCAGCTCATGCGTGACACCTGCGCTTGCTCAGGCCCTTTGAGGAGGCCACGCTATTCGTGAGTCGGCAGGACTATGGGATGAACGACGTCATTCCTCTGTTGCACGTCCTGGAACAAATGCTGTTAATAATGGCTGGTCAGGGTGCGGTAGACGTGGCGCACAGATCTCAACGCCACATGACCCCTGTGGGGGCAGGACAGGAAGAAGAGGAGGAGGTAGAGGGAGGACATTGGTGCTCAGGAATTATTGAGTGAAATGGGTGGTTTTTCCACTCAGCGGACAGGAGTGGAGGAGCAGGAGCATCTGGTAGAGGAGGAGGAGGAGAGGAGACAGAGGACCCAGACGCACCGTGCAGTATGCTGTGGAGATGGAGGCAGGGAGTCCCTCGCATTTCCTTGGCACAAATGGCCCATAGCATGCTCGCTTGCTTGCGTACCGACAGCCGAATAATAACCATCAGACAGAGGGATGACTTTTGGCTGTCCACCTTGTTGGACCCTCGCTACCGTTCAAAAATGGTGGCCTTTTTCACACCTGCTGAGAGGGAGGCCAAAATAACGTACTATAAAAACCACCTATGTAGTCAGCTGGTCTCTGCCTGTCTGCGCCAACGTCCATCCTCAGACACTGTGGGCCCTGTGCGCTCGCGTTACGCTGCCATGGCAGCAGGGGGGAGGGGTGGGGTGGTAGGAGCAGTGGCAGCTCCACCAGCAGCAGCTGCCTCAGTCTGCAGTCGATGATGAGTAGCTTTCTTCACCAGCGCAGTGAGGAAACTACTAACCAGCCGCAGCAGCAGCAGCAGCAGCAGCATCAGGTGGACCTGGAGCAGGACCTCAAACAACAGGCTTAGGCCTACTTGGACAGCACCCTGCCAACCGAGGTAGTCAATCCCCTTGACTACTGGGCAACGAAACTTGACCTTTGGCCCCAACTAGCTGAATTTGCCCTTGAAAGGCTGTCATGCCCGGCCAGTAGCGTGGCATCGGAGCGCGTGTTTAGTGCGGCAGGAGGTATTGCAACTCCGCGGAGGACACGACTGTCCACCCAAAGTGTGGAGAGACTCACGTTTGTGAAAATGAATCAGGCGTGGATTAGTCTGGATTTCAAACCACCAGTTCCTGACACAACTGACTAAATCCGCCATGAATCATGCCCCAAACATGTGCCACTTTCAGGTCTCCTCACACTGCTGGTGTGTTCCATTTTTTGTCATAGGGTGCTGGCAGATTACGGGCCTCCCATAGCTGCTGCCAGGCCCCTAATCTGCCATGGGCCCCTATACCGCCCCTCATGCTGCTGCCAAGTCCAGAGTCTCTCATGGGTCCCTGTACGGCCTCCCATTGCTGCTGTCTCCATCGCCACACTCTGCCATGTGCCACTTTCAGGTCTCCTCACACACTGCTGGTGTGTTGAATTTTTTGACATAGGGTGCTGGCAGATTACGGGCCTCCCATAGCTGCTGCCAGGCCCCTAATCTGCCATGGGCCCCTATATACCGCCTCCTCATGCTGCTGCCAGGTCCAGAGTCTGTCATGGGTCCCTGTACGGCCTCCCATTGCTGCTGTCTCCATCGCCACACTCTGCCATGTGCCACTTTCAGGTCTCCTCACACACTGCTGGTGTGTTGAATTTTTTGACATAGGGTGCTGGCAGATTACGGGCCTCCCATAGCTGCTGCCAGGCCCCTAATCTGCCATGGGCCCCTATATACCGCCTCCTCATGCTGCTGCCAGGTCCAGAGTCTCTCATGGGTCCCTGTACGGCCTCCCATTGCTGCTGTCTCCATCGCCAAACTCTGCCATGTGCCACTTTCAGGTCTCCTCACACACTGCTGGTGTGTTGAATTTTTTGTCATAGGGTGCTGGCAGATTACGGGCCTCCTATAGCTGCTGCCAGGCCCCTAATCTGCCATGGGCCCCTATACCGCCTCCTCATGCTGCTGCCAGGTCCAGAGTCTCTCATGGGTCCCTGTACGGCCTCCCATTGCTGCTGTCTCCATCGCCACACTCTGCCATGTGCCACTTTCAGGTCTCCTCACACACTGCTGGTGTGTTCCATTTTTTGTCATAGGGTGCTGGCAGATTACGGGCCTCCCATTGCTGCTGCCAGGCCTGTAATCTGCCATGGGCCCCCGTACCGCCTGGTCACGCTGCTGCTGGGTCCACAGTGTGACATGGGTCCCTGTACCGCCTCCCATTGCTCCCACTCTGCCATGTGCCACTTTCAGGTCTCCTCACACTCCTGCTGGTTTCCATTTTGTCATAGGTTGCTGGCAGATTACAGGCCTCCCATAGGTGCTGCCAGGCCCCAAATCTGCCATGGGCCCCCGTACCGCCTCGTCACGCTGCTGCTGGGTCCACAGTGTGACATGGGTCCCTGTACCGCCTCCCATTGCTCCCACTCTGCCATGTGCCACTTTGAGGTCTCCTCACACTCCTGCTGGTTTCCATTTTGTCATAGGTTGCTGTATGGCCTCCATTGCTGCTGCCTCCACCGCCACACTGTGGCTCCAAACACTGGTTTTGGCCCCGTGACTGGCCAAATGAGTGAAGTGTGCGGTGATTCTAAGATCGACGGCACTCATCTGCATGTCATACTGACTGACAGTATTATTTCTCTTCCCCAGCAGACTCCAAGGGCATTTAAATTAAAGGTACAGTGTTCTGCACTAATATTAAGTCTCTCTGAAGCCTAGAAACACCCTTTTTTTAAGTTAAATTCACAGCGAATATATTCGACTCGAATCGAATACTAATAATGACCAAAGCACACGTCTAAAAGCACCAAGAAATGCTTTAGGACAAAGCAGTGAAGAGAGATCTGGAGCAGTTGGTGAAAGAAGAGTGGTCCAAAATTCCAGTAGAGCGATGTAAGAAACTCATTGATGGTTAGGAAGCAATTAATTTCATTTATTTTTTCTAAGGGGTGTGCTACCAAATAGTAAATTGAGGGTGCCAATAATTTGTCCAGTCCATTTTTGGAGTTTTGCATAGATTGTGTCAGATTTGGCTTTTTGTTTCTCCATTTCTTTGTGTCATATCAATACAAACAAAAGAGATAAACATGAGAATCCCTAAACTTTTGTAATTGTAACAATTTTCTGGGAGAAATGTTGCATTATCTGATAGAAATGCAGGCAATATTTGTGGCCATGACTGTAAGTAAACACTCTGTAATGACAGTATAGGTAGTACTATTTCGCTAGGTGGAATCCTCCACTGATAGAAACCAGTCCATAGATTTTAGGTGACAACAGTATCCAAGAGTAATCTCTGTGGGTGAAGTGGTATTAGCCAATAGCTGTTTATTTCTCAAAAAGGTTTTCAAACAGAGGCAGTGTATTTATAATAGCTTAAATATCATGTTATCATTAATTTGTAACTGCAAATCACACTGATACCAGCACAATAGCCTCTGTTGAAAAGATTATATTGGCCATATGCCATTTATCTCCCAGGCCAGTTTATTCCATAGAACTGGAATCTGCCTTTCAAAATGAAAGAGCGCAACTAATCACCATATATTCCTTCCACACTCTGATGTGTGTCTCAACTACAGTATATATAATCAGAACAGTATAAATCCATTCAATATAAATTACATTTACAGTCCTTCAAAATCTCAAAAACAGCAGGCACTCATTCACAGTGAACACATGCATGGCATCCAAGATTGATGAGGGTTTAATGCATTGTCTGTTCCACATTGTCCTCCACCTTCGGTAATATGCATTTGAGGGGTATTACCAGGCAGACAACTATCAAGGGTGTGACTTTGTTATCCCTATTTTGGAATATACAGTTTTTTTTATTTATTTAAATATTTATACATTTTTCAGATAAACAAGTTATACAAACATACTCATTAAAACTTTAGCTTATTATCAAAACATTTATCGTTTCATCCCTTTCCCCCCGTCCCCCTCCCCCTACCTATTTACCACCCATCCCCCTCCCCCATCCAATCCCTGACCTCTTCTGCTCTGCATTTTCCTGTTCATTTCTGGAGATCATAATCCCTATAAAAGAAGAACAAAATATGTTTCCATATTATTCTCTGTTAATCCCCCATAACCTCTAAGGCTAGCCTTGACTTTTTGAATTCCTCCCATTGGTTCCATCTTGTATGGTGACTCTCCATCTTATCTTCATTCAAATGATAAAGTTCCTCCAATTTACATATTTGATTCACCCTATCCACCCAGTCTTTTATTTTCGGTACCTCCTGTCTCCTCCAATACTTGGGTATCAGTCCCTTTGCTGCATTCAAATAGTACCATAAACCAGATTCTTTGTATTTTTTACCTGAAAGCTTAGTACTATGAAAAAGGCAAAATCTCTGGGTCTACTAGAATATCAACCTCTGTAATTTTCTGAATCAAGCTTACTATTTTCCCCCAATACTCTTGTATTTTAGAACACTCCCACCATATGTGATACATTGTGCCTCTACCTCCACATCCACGCCACCATAAAGGTGAATTATCTCCACTCAATCTATGTGCCACACTCGGTGTGATATGCCATCTTGCCAAACATTTGTAGCTCATTTCTACCTCCTGCATATTTATATTTCTGTGGATTATCTCTATACATTTTCCTCTGTTTTTCCACATCTATTGTAACTCCTATTTCTCTTTCCCATTTTTCTATATATGGAGGACTTATATCTGCGTTTATTTCAGTGAGAATCTTATATATTTTAGAGGTTCCGTGTTTCCCATCTCCCCATGTACCTAACAAGTGCTCAAAAGGATTCCAATCCTCTCTTATTCTTAAAGGCTTTGGAAGCTTTCCTATAAAGTGTTTCAATTGAAAATAACACCACTCATCCATCCTCGTAAAAGCTTCTCCTCTTTTTCCAATTCTTCAAGTGATCCTATTTCCTCCCCCAACATTATATCCCTTAATTGTGCATCTTCCTTCTTAATCCACTTCCCTGTGATACCTTCTTTACCTGGGGGGAAAAAACTCTGTGGACTTTAAGGGCATTAACAATTAAGTAAATTCCCATCCTATCTGTTTGTGTAAAACCTCCCAAACTCTTAAAACATTAAATGTGAACAAACTTGTACTGTCTGCTAATCCTCTGTATTGTGGAGGTAACCAAACAATTCCACTTAATTTAGTATTACTTAGTATATTTTCTATTTTAACCCAGCTTTCCCCTCTGCATTATAAGTCCAGTCAAAAATTCTCGCCATTATTACTGGGTTATAATATCTTTTTAAATCTGGGACTCCCAATCCTCCCTTTCTCTTTATTTCTACATAAAATTTCCTGGCTTATTCTCGGTTTTTTATTCCTCCAAATAAATACTATTAATATTTTTTAATTGATCTAAAGTATACTTCTGGTAGTTTAACTGGTATCATTTGAAATTTATATAATATTTTTGGAATAATCACCATTTTTATCAAATTTATACGAACTATCTATGACGGGGTTCCCCTCCTAATTTCCTTAGTTCATCCCTGATCTCATTTAACAATGGGATTCAATTTATACAAGTTCTTGGAGGATACAGTTAATTTTATTCCTAGATATTTCAATTCTTTTTCTCTCTAAAGGGAAATTCCTCCTGTAACCTATTTTTCTCTCTATTTGGAAGATTTATGTTTAAAATTTCTGTTTGTGTTGCGTTAATTTTTAAATTTGACATCTCCCCATATTCTTTCAGTGATTTCATTGAATTTGGCAATGTTATCCTTGGAATTCCCATATAGAACAGCATGTCATCTGCATAAGCTGCCACCTTATGCTCCGTATCTCTTATCCAAATTCCTTTTATATCTATATTATTCCTTATTGTAGCCAAAAGAGATTCCAATGACAAAACATATAGCAAAGGAGACAAAGGGTATCCCTGTCTAGTTCCGTTCTGCATTCCAAAATACTCTGACAATTCCCCATTAACCATGACTGCTGCAGAGGGGTACTATATAATTTCCTTATCCACTCTCTCATTCTAGGTCCCATCCCAATACTTCCAACATATATCCCCAATCTACTATCTATCAAATTGCCTTTTCAGCATCGATAGAGAGTACCACCGCAGGAATTTTCTCTTTCCTACTTTTTTGTATGAGAAACAGAGATCTCAGTCCATTATCTCTACCCTCTCTCCCAGGGATAAAGCCTACTTGGTCTATGTGTATCCATTCCAACATTAGGTCTTTCAACCTGTTTGCAAGAACTTTTGCATATAGTTTGGTATCTGTATTTAATAAGGAAATCGGTCTGTAACTTGAACAGTGAGTATCATCTTTACCTTGCTTATGTATGAGAACCACATGGACTTGCAGGCATTTCCTCCTCATTTCCATTTCTCCTCCCAATGCATTCATATATATCCTCAGTTTAGGTACAAATAATTCTTTATATTTTTTATAATATCTCACTGACTCACTGACTCACTGAGTCAGGTCCTGGACTTTTCCCAGCTATAGTGCTCTTTAATGCTAAGTGTATTTCCTCCTGCGTTATTTGCTGATTCTAGGAATTTTAATTGCTCTTCACTTAATTTTGGTAATCCTGCCTTTTTTAAGTATGTCTGTCTTTCTTCTATGTTTCCTACTTCATCTTTACTTATGGAGCTGTGAGGGATAATATTATATAGCTTATTATAATATTCTTTAAACACTTTAGCTACTGTATATCTTTAGTTGAATACATTAATTCTCTTTTGTGGTCTCTTATTTTCTCTATATAGTTCCCAGATTTTTTTTTTCTGAGCCCTCATTAAATACTTTCCTGGCCTATCTCCCCGTCTATATCTCTCACATCATTTTATTGAACACTCTTCTCTTATCTTCTTCCAGAAATGTATTTAATTCTTCTCTTTTATTTTATTACCCTCTACATAATCTTTTTTGTTACTTTATGTTTATGTCTCTGCTCTTAACTCACAGAGTTCACTAAGAAGCGTATTTATTTTTTCTCTTCTTTCCCTCTTCTTTTTTGCTACAATCGCTATCAGGATTCCTCTATCATAGGCCTTATGAGCCTCCCACACTGTTGCTACAGACACTTCCCCAGAATCATTTCCCTCAAAAAATTGCTCTATTTCTTTTTTTATTCTTTGATCCACCTCTGAATCCTGGAGAAGTGTCTCATTTAACCTCCATAATTTCCCCCCGACATGCTCATTTCCCCATAATAATTACATTGTGACAGGGGCATGGTCCGATATTGACATCACTTCTATTTTTACTTTGACCAGAGACTCGATAAGTCGATGGTCCAGCAATATATAATTCAGTCTTGAATATATCTCATGTGCTTAATTCTCCATATATCTACAAGTTGACAATGTTATATCACTTTTTTCAAGGATTTCAGAGACCTACTACCATCTCTCTGCACAGGGGACGTCAAATCCATCTGGGGGTCCATGCAGAGATTGAAATCACCTGCCACAATTAAATTGCCTTTTTTGAAATCCATTAACTTCCTCAGGGCATTTTTTAGGAATACCTCTGGTTTCTTATTCGCGCAATAAATATTTGCTAGTGTACAGTCTATTTCCTGTAATTTTCCCTTCAGAAACAGAAATCTCCCTTCCGGATCTACCAATCTGTCTTCCAGCTTAAACCTTATA